ATTTCTTCTATACATATTTGAACATTTATGGAGTGTAAGAGAGTACAGTAATCACCCCTTGACCATGAGGAATTTGTTCTAAGTCCCTTAGTGCGTGCCTCAAACCATTGATAGTATTGAATCATGTGTAAACAGGTGATCCTTGAATCTAAAGATTCAGCCAACCTTGGATGGAAAATATTAGGAAAGGTCTAGAGAATGTGGCTTAGTGGTAACAGCTTATGCTTAGCATGCATGAGGCCATGAGCGTGATCCCCAGTCCCACAAAACACACACGCATACACACACACACGCACACGCACACACACAGAAAGAATGGGAGGAAATATTAGGGAAAACATTGCATCTGTCCAGAACCTGTATAGACTTTTTTCTTGTAAGTATTTCCTAAACAATGCAGTATAACAACTATTTACATATGCTTAATTTATATGCACATACTTTACGCAAGAGACTGCAGATTTTGGTGTCCATGGGTAGGGGTGTCCTGGAACCAATTTTGTTGGCTACAGAGAGAAAACTGTACTATATCTTTTCCTGTACATATGTACCTATTATAAAGTTTACTTTGTGAATTGATCACAGTAAGATCAACAGTAAAATAATTAAATAGAATAGTTGAACAATATACTGTAATAAAAGTTATGTGAATGTCACTGCCGCCACCACACACACACACACACACACACACCCCCAACCACTCAATCTGATAACTGAGACAGCTACTAAATGATTAGTGGGCAGGTACTGTATACAGCCTGGATACGCTGGACAAAGGGATGATTCACTTTCTGGGCAGGACAGAACTAGATGGTGCAAGATTTTATCACACTACTGAGAACACCACATAACTTATAATGTTTATTTCTGTTATTTTCCATTTAATATTTTTGGACTGCAGTTGGCCACGAGTTTCTTTTTTGTTTTTTTCTTTCTTTTCTGGGGAGGGTTGCTAGGAATAGATCCCAGGACTGACTATAAGTTACTGAAACTGCAGAAACCACAGATAAGAGCGGGAAGACTGTCATGTGTATGCAGACCCATTTTTACCACAAATGGAAGCAGACTGTACATTCTTAACTGCTGCTTTTTGTATTTGTTACAGTGTATCTTGGACTTGGATCCTCATTAACACATAGATATACTTTGCTCTTTTGATGTTTGTGTCATATTCCATTATCACACTCATTGCTCTTCAAATTTGGTTCACTATTTTTCCATCTAAGGAGAAAAGGATATAGAGATGAGAAACAGTAAAAGATACTGGGACCCTGGGAGAAAAGACAGACAGACAGACAGACAGACAGACAGACAGACAGAAAGAAAGAAAGAAAGAAAGAAAGAAAGAAGATACTGAGAGTTGAGGGAGAGGTATTGAGATACCTAAGGGATTGTAGAAGAACACAGATTTTAAATAGTACCACTAAATTTTAGCAACTACAGACATCAGTCGAGCTAGTACTTTTTGTTACTGCTTTGTGAAGTAAATGAAATAAAAGCAAAGTTTTAGGTCTAAGCCACAGGCCAGCTCTTCCCAACACTTCTGTAACCAGAAACCATGCTTAATTTACTAGAGTCCTTTGAGGATTTAAATAGCACATGGATAGAGTGAACAGTGGATGCTATTTCAACTATCAAAAATACTTGGCAAACTTTTAAACCCAACACTTTTTTAAAAAAATGAGTCACTGTAGGACCAGGGAGCAATGTTTAGTCCTAGCAATGTTTGGTCCTTATTTGTAGTTTGAAGATAAAAAATTCTTTTTAAGCAGAGTTTAAAGGGGTACTTTCCTGAATGGTCCTACTACAGTAGGGCCACAAGGGATCAGCAGTGAGACTAATTTGATTTAATATTCATAATAGTTTGGAAAGAGGGAGTACAGTAGGGTAAAATCACTAAGTTGGCTGATGTCTTTGCAATATTCCAACGAGGATAGTTGGCTTCAAAAAGATACTTATTTTGTAGGAGTGGGCATAAGAGTGGCTTGCAAGCTTTGATATGAACAAATCCACAGAGAGGTCTCTGGGGACACATTCCTGAAGTGCATTTTAGAAGATTTACAATGTGCCTTAGGTCTTTATCTGTGAATAGAGTCTCTGCCTCAGGCATCTGTAGGAGTAAAGAAAGATGGAGCTAACATCTTCCGGAGGTGGATGATATTTTAATAGTATTATCTGAACATAAGAGAGGAGGCTAGTTGTGAGCTCATTGACTTCACAATGAAAAATCTAAAGAGTCCCCAATTGGTATCAGTTGGTATCAGTTGGTAGGTAATGGTTGGTGGTCTGTATATTCACTGATTTTTTTGGGGGGGTGGGATGCTGGGGATGGAACCCAGGGTCTCATTCCTCACACAAGTAAGGTAAATGCACCACCACTGAGCCTCACCTCCAGGTTCAACCAACTTTTAAAATTAAATATGGGTGGGTAGGATATTGTAATGCTTGCTAGGCAACGTGTAACTATTATTCTACCAGGTTGCTAAATAGTCTCCTAGGTACTTTGTTTCATGGACAGATAAATTCCAGGAATACCCTTCCATCCTAGATTTCAGTAGAAATGCTAAGTAATCTGGAAGTTGTGAGTAAAGTGATTTGCCCTTGTGGATGCCCATTGCTCAAGAGTGCTTTCTGTGTGAGTCTACAGATTTTGCTATGCAACAAGGCCCCACCCAGCACTGAATCTTCTCGCTCAGATCCTCACTTCCAAGGTAACAAAAGAAAAAACAGTGTAAGGAATGAATTGCAGTCACTAGGTGCCTAAGGACAAAGCCTTTAAGAAGTTTGTCATTTAAAAGATAGTACAGCCCACAGACATCTAGGACATTTTCCAAGGGAGTGTCAGCAGTATCTCTGTGTTCTCCAAGCTGTGTGCAAAGCTGCATCATGGGGTGGGTGGCGCCATTCACAGCAAGGTGGACAGGAGCTGATACAGAGAGGCCCGGAAAGACTGACAGCCACACTCCTGTCCAGACCTTCTGTGCTGCCTCCTGACCTCCACCGAAGCCCATGCACAGAGCTCACTCACTGAGGACTGAAGAAAAACTGTTCTCTGGAAAAAACGACAATGGAAATCAGACTTGAAATTTTAAAAAATATGCTAGATATGTTAGGGTGCCATTTTATAAGAAATGCAATCAGATATTCTCTTCAGCTTTTTACTCTAAAATGTTTTCCTTTTCATAGGATAACTTTTAATTATGAAAATCCAAACTACATTTCTCACCCTTCTCTGCTACCAAGCATGTTTTTGAAAGCATGACTTTAATACCGGCATATACATCACATCACATCATGGAAGGAAGTATCTAACAGAGTCAGATCAATATCTTCTGAAGTCGTGAAATTTTCAGCGATAAACTTAGTACCCTACCCACCTCACAGTGTGGGGGAGAAGCTCACATGAGCTGGGTGATACCAAACTGTTTTGTAAAGTGCCGTGTAGAATATAATGGTATTAATTATTCATCACACTTCATGATTTGGGATTAGAAATTCAAATTGATTCAATTCTAGGAATCTATCCTTTATAGATAGAAATGCAAAATGCAAATATCAGTATACAGCGATGTTCTCTGAAGCATCATTTGTATTAGCAAAATATTAGAAATTACTCAATTGTCTATCGGTGATGGATTGGATAAATAAGATATAGCCATATAGAGGAATAAAAACAAGGCACTTCTGTATGTTCTGACATGGAAATTAGTCCTGAGTACATATAAAATGAAATGAATAGCATGATTTCAATTTTGATTAAAATTATATATTAACATATGCATGCAAAATCTCTTCCAAGTATATCTGTCAAAACTCTGGATCCTGCTTTGCTTTGGAAAGGCAAGATAGTGGGGAACTTTTGCTTGCACTTTATTTCTGTGTTGTTTGAATTGATTACAATGAGCATTATTATTTTTAATTAAAAGTGTGAATTTGCCCTTAACCCTGACCACCCTATTGTAACTGGGGAGAAGGGTATGTAAAGAGATAGCAAAAGACTTGTGGTTCCTTTCATTTCTTTAAGAAAGCATTTCTATTGTCAGAACGAGGAGAGAGCAAAAAGGAGCTCAAAACCTTTTTACCTCTTTGGTAGTGGTGAAAGAGAAAGAGAAAGAAGGAAAGGAACTCTGTTTCTTGTTTTTTATTTGTATTTGTTCACTTTACTTTGCAAACTGTGGAATAACTGAAAAATACGTAGAGATCTGGGAAAATGAATGCCCCCCAAAAGAACACCACAGCTGTGAAATACCGACCCAGTTGAAGCTGGTAAAGCTCCCCATTGGAGATAAAAGTAGAAGCGCCCAGGACTGGAAATATTCCCCCTTGTCATGTGGGTAGGATGCCCATAGATAGCTTGGAACTGCTGTGCTGAAGGGAAGCCTGTGTTTTCTTCTGCAGCACATTGAAAGATTTTTCCCGGAGCTGGTGTTCTGTGTCTGGGGAAGAGCACGGAGGGAAGCAGGCAGGCATAATGCATGCTGCAAATGGCCCGAGAAAGCCTCCTGATTAGAAACCCAGGTTCTGCAAGGCTGAAATGAAATGGTGAGCGAAGAAGGAAGGGGTAGAGAGCATAGGATAGCCTGTCACCATCAAGTGATCAGAAAACACAGTGAGGTAAGGTCCTTTTGGTGTGCTTCACCACCCCAGACCTTGAACCTCCCCCAGCTGCTATCACTCTGCCTTGCCACTGGTCTTTACTCTGCTAGAGGCCCTGCTAAACTGAGAGCACAACAGGGCAGAGACCTTATCTTGTCCTGTATTGTATCCCCCAACACATAGACAAGAAGAAGATTGAATTGCTATTCTTTGACTGTTCAATGAATATTCTCCACTGCAGATGAACTCTACCTGGAGGGGTTTACTTTCATACCATGGGATCATCCCATGGTTTAAAGGCTGAAGAGAATTTATCATCAGCTTCACTGGCCATGCTTAATACAGTCAACTTTCCCATTGGTTGGGACTTTCTTTGACAAACCTGTTTTCTTTCACTTTTACAGATACAGCCAAAAGGCGGCAAGGAATGGGATGAAAAATCAGTTCAACCTCCATGAACTGAAAATGAAGGGCCCGGAGCCAGTGGTCAGTCAAATCATTGACAAACTGAAGCACATTAACCAGGTATGTTGTATACCCAGCACAAGTGGAAATGGCAAAAAAGTGAAAGATGGACGATGTTCACTATTTGAACTGTACATTTGAGCTTTTGAAAGGGCAGCTATATTATTTATTTTCTTCAAAGGATCTCTCTGCTAAAAAGGGCTGATCTCCATTTTTCACCAATTTTAAGTTATCATGGTAATATTGCAATATAAGAGAAAGCTTGGAGGGCTGGGGATTTAGTTCAGTGGTGCTGTGCCTGCCTCGCAAGCTCAAGGTCCTGAGTTCGATCCCGGTAACACCAAAAAAAAAAAAAAAAAAGAGAGAGAAAGCCTGGAAAATAAAGGAAAAATATTTCTTTTTATTTGTATTAAATTCTTTTATTGGTACATTGTAGGTATACAACACAATTACATTTCTCGTTGGGAACTTGGACCTTTACATAATGCATCTTGGTTCTTATTTTTTCCCCATTCCTAGCCCTGCCTTCACCCCCTCCACCCTTCCCTATTTACAAAGACTTTATTTCCATTTTTTCCATTTCTCAGCATTTTTCCTTTCCCTTCTTTCCTTTCTCCTGCCCCTCCCACTACCCCTCCCCCTTTGGACCTTTTCTTCCTATTTTACATTATCGATTATTCATTCTAATCATTGGTACATTTTAGGTATACAATATACTGACATTCATCATTGAAAGTTTGCACTTTTACATAGTCTGTCTTGGTTCTTATTTTTCACCCTTGCCCAGCCCTCCCTTCAACCCCTCCATTCCTCCCTATTTACAAAGATTTTGTTCCTATTTTTCCATTTTCTCATATTAATCCCTTTCCCTTCTATCCTTTCCCCTAGCCCTCCCACTTCCTTCCCCTTTGCCCCTTTTCTTCCTATTTCACATTACCTATTTTACATTTAGTCCTTATTTACACTTTCAGTTTCTCACACCAGAGAAACTATTTGGTATTTATTCATGTGTGTCCTATTTATTTCACTTAAGAGTAGGAAAAATGTTTCTCAGAATCCCACTACTCTATCCCAACTGTTTTCATTTTTACCTGTTTTGTTCTGATATTTGTTCAGAGAATCACACATAGACCTTTTTCATAATCGGAAGTATATAAGATTTCTAGTTCTTAAAAAAATGACGCTATAGTTCGATCCCCGGTACCAAAAAAAAAAACGACACTATTGGCAACACTTTCACATGTTGCTACAAATCTTCATATTAATCATTCGTTGTGGCTGCATAAGATTCATCATATTTTATCAGCTCACTTTCACTGAATATTCAAGTAGCTTCCCATTGTATACTACCACAAAGCTATCTCTTCATATATAGTGTCTTCTCCTCATCTCAGATTTTCTTAAAACATTGGTTATTGAGCCAAAGGATATGAGTGTTTTAATGTTTGTCTCCACATTGCTTTCCAATGAGAATGCATCAGTTTTCCCCACCACCAGCAAGATACAAGGGGTCCAATTTCACTGCACTCTTGCCAACTTCTGACTCACTGCCATGCACAGACTCCCACAGATTCCCTTGACCTGTACACATAGTTTTTTCTCTTGTAAGGATTTAGTAACAAGACACGAATAGAAGTTAGTTGTAGCATCTGTTTGTGATTGCTTTGTGGGCACAATAAAAAAGGCCACCAAAAAGGCTCCCATATGCCAGCGTGACAGTGATCCTACTCCATGATCCATGAATGGGAGGACCCTGGCACCACTGGCTTCTATTTGTATCTAGGAAGAACTTTATAGAACTAAAATCCTTACACAAGTACAGAGGTTTCTGTGTGAATACACTGGAATAATTTTGATTTTTAGTGTGAAGTATAGCAGTGGAATTTTCGTGTCTTTTAGAAAAATGTTTGCACGGGCTTCTTACTAGTGGTATATTGCACTACAGTTTCACTGTGAAAGTCTTGACAGCACATTGGGGTGTAACTGCTGCAGTGTCTCATAAAGTGCCCTGCACACAGTAAGTACTTATGGGGGTTGCTCCCATTGCTGAACACATGCTAATGGCAGTGTTTACATGACCGAGCCTTCCTTCTGTGCTAGCACAGCCTCACTTAGTTCAATGAAGACTTGTTAGATAGAGTGGGATTATTTAAAAATGTATCTCTGAAGGGGTTAGAGTACAGACAATGTGAAGCACAAAATGCTGAACTCAGGACATGATGTACCTCACCTGCGAACATTGGTAGTATTTGTCTATCAAATGATTTCCAGATTATCTCAGACTAAACGTGTCATGGTGGCTCTACTCAAATCATTCGATCCAAGCACTGGTGAGGCCAAAATCTCAGGGCCCACCACTATTTCCCTAATCCTACACGAGGAATCCTGTCCATAGGTCAGTAGACCTTAAGCACACATGTTGTACTCAGCCACATGCTAGGGACATCGGGATCCAAAACAAGTCTAATCCTCTATTCCCGCAGCCTCCTTGGGAAGGGAAGCACATGCATAGAAAGTGGTTGAAGATAAAGGACAGCCTGTGATGGAGAGGGGTGTTACTTATTAGTTCTGGACAATATGCTTAGGCTCTGGTGGGCCAGGCCAGAAAGAAGGGTCCAGGGAGGGGCAAGTGTTAAGATCTGTTGTAAGTATGCGTAGGGTTAGAGTAGGGAAAGACAAGAAAAGAAGGGACAGTCATAAGAAAGATCAGACAAAGTTCTGCTGGTGGATCCTACCTGAGAAAACAGGACAGCAGACAAGGGTTTCTATATGATCCAGCAGTCACTACAAATATTTATAGCAAGCCCTTTCAGCAAAGGCTTCATATACAGTGGAGAGAATATGGACTTCGGATCTAAATTAATCTGAATTTAGTTGTGGGTCTTAGCAAATATGTAACCTTGGGCAAATCAATTAATCTTTCTGAACTTTAGTTCTCTCGTTGGTAGTATGATAGAGCTATCAGAAGTTTCTGTGTAGGTATGTGTGTACATGTATGCGTATTATACACACACAGATGTATATAATTGCATGTTCCTGAGAAGCAACTATTAAATGGTAGTTATTAAGATTATATTCAAACTTTTCCCTACAGGCAAGATTTTACTTTGAAAGGGAATTCCAGTACTTTTTGCCAGTCTAAGTCTGCTCGTCCTGTTTGATATGACTGTAGATCCCTTTGAGGCATCTCTTTTCTCCAATATTGTTACTTTATTTTCTTTTCTTCTACCTTTTAATCACAAGAGGTGAAACCAAGCCAGGCATGGTGGTACATGGCCTAGAATCTGAGCTATTCAGGAAGCTGAGGCAGGAGGATTGCACCTTTGAGGCCAGCCTGGGAAACTCATAAAGGCCCTATCTTAATAATAAAAAGGGTTAGGCATGTAGCTCAACACTCCCTGTGTGCAATCCCCAGGACCACATGAAGTAAAATAAAATACAATAAAGCTGAAACCAGTTCATATGGAGAAGGAGGTATATATAGTCAGAATGGGACAGATGGCTATTACAATTCTCTTCTATCTCTGGTCAGACATATATATGTGAATATTTTCAGTTTCCATAGAAACAACATCACACAACCAATTAATTCTCAGTGAGAGACCAGTTTTACCTGTTTAAGTTGAGCTGTTAAAATTGGTTGGCCTCCAAACACCCACATTGATTTTCTTCTCATTTATGTTGCTTTATATGGCCAAAACATAAAATTCATATTTTGGCCATAATTCAACCTGAAAGTGAGACAGTTTAGGGAAGTCATAAACAAGAAATTTATGGTGATGATGATGATGGTGGTGGTGGTGGTATTGATTATAATGACAATGTGTCATGTTTGTATAACATTTAGCCATATTTCAAAGTATTTGTGTTCTAAAGACTAATTGCTTAGGGGAAAATAACCAACCTGGAATTGTATAATGTCACAAAAGCATTCTTTTCAAGAACTCATTGTTATCTTTGGACATATTATCCTTGCTACTCCCTGGGAGGTAAGTAATAAATAATGTTTGTCCCCTTTTATAGCTAGGGAAACTGAGGCAGGAAATCATTAAAGGTTCAGTGGCCATGCTGCCAAAACATCCAGTGAGTTCAGTTGAAAATTCAATCAATCATCCAGATGTTGTTTTGTATACACTGCCAAGCATCTGGATTCACTGATTGCCTGAATAAATTGGCCTAAAGTTTTGGTGATGAGGACGTAGAATCAAGTTGCCTTGTGCAAGTCCGCATGAATGTAAATGGTGAATCTAGGAGTATAATGTTATCTTCCTAAGCCCTTTGCTTGTTGCTTTGCCTACTAACCTACAGCACTACTTATCTGTAGATCCAGAGATCTCTCCCTATCTATACATTGTGCCTATGTGTTCCCATCCTGAGGAACTGTAGCTAGACCATTTCTGAACACATCCAAAAATAACTCTTCACTTTCTTCTGTGGAAATTCTCAGCTGCCTCCTTTCAGATTATGGTTGCTGTTGATAGCACTGGAAATAATATACCCACTAAGGGAATGAAGTAACATTATTTCCATATTGACGGTCCCATAGTGTAACCTTGAGCAGATGGGTTCAGGGTCAGACCCAGGGCCCTTTCCTGGGAAGTCTTGCAGGTGTGGAATATCCCCTCCTCCTTCCAAGCCAGAGTTCATGTGTAACATTCCCACGATTAGAATTGAGGACCTTTTTATTTCCTTTTCAGTTTCTAACTTGTGTGAGGATTTATTGTGTTGTGTTAGGAAAGAAACTGAACTCTTTTAAGTTCTCAATGTCAGTCCTGGAATTTTCTGGGCTGTGTTGTTTTTGTTAGTGTTATTCTCCTCCAGGGCTGCTGCATGGAGAGAAGACTGCAGATACTGATACCAAGAATAACCATTAATACTTTCTTGTCCATGTGGTGTGGGCCGTTTAATCCCTAACCCAGTTTTGTTTGTAATATTTTCTCTCTCTTTAAAATATCTAGTAGTTAGTGCTAATTTAGCAATCCCTAAATTGTATAGAAGTTATTGTTCCCAAGGAAAATCTAGCCATTTATTTTTTTTCCCATTTCAGTTCAGGTTCAAAT